CAACACTCAACATGATTTATTAACAGTACTGAAAGGAATCAAACATTGAATGCATATGTAACAGCATCAGAATCTTTATTTTGGTCAACATGTCTTATTGCAGAAATTCCCTTTCTAACAAAACATAATGAACAGCTCAATTAGTTTTCAGTGTTTGTTCAAGCATGATCACCACCTCTAGAGGTGAATTGTGGAATGTATCTCTTGCCTTAGACTGAACATAAATTACATTAGCGGTTTTTCCAAAATATATCTGCCACTAGTTGTTGGAATGTAGGAGGTCCCTTCACATTCTTGTGTGTTATTTCCGCATGATAATCTTCACAAGAGTGCCACCTTTTTGTCTTGCATTACCAAAAAGTGGTGGCCTTGAAGAACTTGCTTGAGAGCCACCATAAGTTAACAAATGACTTAATTGCCCTGTATATGTTGTCCACCTATCTGTGGGATGTTTGATGGCAAATTCGTCAAATCTTCCCCCATGACAAGAAGAGAAGATCCATCATCTAAATGCAAGACATTAAATTGTCCTGAGTCAGTCAGCCAGTACATCATGTCTCCAGACTCATCCCTTAAGTACAACAAAATTCATTTCCACTTGAGAAATACAATTTTCCTCATTTGCTGTTTTCAGTGTTGAAGATTTCACCCCCAACACAACTGCTTGCAGGGTAACTACAGTTAACCACAATCTAAATTTTGGTTAAGATTACTTAATCCTACATTATTGCAGTCATGACATTGGGTGATTTTGCAAGACTCCAATGTAAATACAATGTGTACTTGCCTGAAAAGCTTGACAAAGCCTAGAAACTGTCATATCCCCTGCTGCTATTCATAATTTAAGCACTTTTCTGTCCTTAGTCAAATCGAAGGTTTTATTGCTTGCCATGATGTCAGTGAACAGACAGTCCAAAAGAGCGCAAAACTTTCACTTCCTCCACAAAATAATAACAAAATAAATTAAAGTGTGTGATACTGAACTATAGTATGCTGTAACTAAGATAACAACTTCCAAAGATTGGCTGTAGCTTCCATTGCTTGCAAACGCTTACTTACCTTGTTCGCAAACTGCACAAACTTCACTGTGGCAAGGAACATCTTTCCGCAGATAGTGTTCCCGCACAACATCAACAAGTTGGCCTGTTTTCGCTTTCAGCCTTAGAAGCTTATTAGTTTTGATCATATTTCGGCGTTCATGGATATGGAACAACGGCCATTTTCAAGTGATACTTCAACTCGAACCCGGCGCCATTTTGTTAGTTACATATCCCAACAACACTTGCTAGTTAAACTTTTGATTGGTATCCAGTTACCTCGATATCTCGGTCGCAAACAAATACTAAATGCGCATTGGTCAGTTGAATTGTGGTAACATCTTGTATTTCCTCGTTATAATATAAGTTCGCATTTTGTTGGAACCGACAGGTTCCGATGAAAATAATTTTTACAAAGTCGTTGCTTGTAATAATGTAGTTGAGATCCATTAAAAGGCTCTTAACAAGTGGATAAATCGTCTGAGGCATGGGCAGCCCTCCATTACCGTAGACCTCATTTGATACTTAGTCTGTGAAGCTCTACTGTGCTGTGCACTTGTGATTCAATATTAAATGTTACCTAGTTCATATTTTGATATACCTGGTTGTTGAAACGCACTTTTAAACCTATTATTTTCGTTATCGTGTTTTTTTTTTCAGTTACCACTGAAAGGCCCTAATCTTTTTTTGCCTAGAGCACTTCTCGTAATTTACGAGCATGTCGCCAAAGTCAGCGGACCAGAGGTTTGAAAGATATAACTCTTTTTTATTTATTAAATATCAATCAAGGGTCGTCATTTTGACACAAAGCTAACGAAAATTATTGCCGTTATTATAAATTCGCTCGCGCTTAAATGACAGTGCCTGAAATGAAACCTGATTGGTTTATCAAATCTCGCGCGCGCTTGAATCTCTTTTGTTATGTCACAATCTGGAAAAATCCATTCGCATGAAAATACTGTCCAGAGAGACTTATATTTCCAAGTGCGTAAACTTTGTTCAGATACAACCCAGCAAAAGCTAAACATGGGTTCTGCTTTAAGTTCATACAAATCCAAGAAAAGAGATAAGAAAGAATATAAGAGGTGAGTAAACATTTCTCTTCCGCTTGGAGGAAAATATTCAGATGCTCTTGCGACTCGATTTTGTTTTCCATGGTGACATTGATCACATCGTCTATCTTGTTCAAATTTGTATATTTTTTTCCGTCGAGTAGGAAACTGAGAGAGCAACTGAAAGAAGCACAAGAACACATAGCTTGTCTCCAGGAACAACTTCAGTGTGCAAATGAGTAAGTTCATTCGAGTAATGTTAGCTGGGGTGGCCGATTCTTTCTCGATTAAACTTCTTTTCTTTGACATTTTCCGTTTTATACCTAATCATAAAAAACGAGTAGAGAGTCCATATGCTCTAGTTGTGTAAATGTCTTTAGCTAGGAGGGCTTCATCTGGGTTATTCCGACAAAAAGAGAGGGATCAGTATTTTTAGCTCATGGTAGACGCAAAGAAGGCGGATAATTTGTTCTATCTGAGACCTTTTTCTTAGCTCTTTCTTTTCTTCAAAGTCTTCTTTTGTAAACCTAAAATTAGCACTTGTTAGTGCGATTTACTGTTGTTGTTCATTACTTGTGTGGGCTAATTATTCTTGTTCGTTCTCTTTTGACATTTTATGTAGATTACTTGAGGCCTTTCAAAGGTCACGCCTCGCCCCTAACGCAGGGCTTGGAACACACAAATATCGAGCAGCCACTGAAATGATGAAAGAAATTGAAGCTTTGGAGCGAAAGCTTTTCTTTGAGCAAGTTGCTCTGAATGTTACAGAAAATAGACGTAACTTTCTGGATGACAACTACTGGTAATTAAATCTCTGTTAAATAACCGTACACTATGGCGCTATTAAAAAGTTAAATACAAAAGTTGTAATTCTTTATACCAAAAGATTGGGAGTTCTCGACTAATCAGAGGACTCTATAATAGTCCTCGATCGGTGCATAGAGTGTTTGGAGATCGGCAAGTATGGAGGGGAGGGGGTAGAAACGTGAAAGTTAGTGCTCTCAAATGGGGCAAATCAGGAAAAAAATTATTTCAAGCTGTAAATATATTTTATCTCTTTTTACAGTCTTCTTCACGACAATGAGACAAACCTTTATTGCCAGAAGTCATCCTATAAGACAAACCTGGAGGCCTTGAAAAAGAAACAAGAGGCCATTCAGTTTAGTCGATTCAAAGACGAAAATCCGCTGGAACAGTGGGTCGTCTGCTCGCTTCCAAATCTTTACTTTGGAAGAGTTGAAACCCTATCATCATGGCATTAGTGTTCTCTTAGTTCAAAAAATGAAAATGAAAACAGTGTACTGCCTTTCTTTTCCTAGATATTTTGAATGAAAACATTTGTACTATGCCGTAACTGAATCTTCTAGACATACGATGCGATGGCACTTTTAATTGAAATATCCAATAGAAATTTAATAAACTTATGGTGATTTTTTATTCGAGGTCATGTAGTAGTTATCTGGCCCTATTGAGAGTGAATTAAAAGGCCTAGCCTCAGATGAATTTGACCACTCAAAACCAAGGCCATCAATTGTAACACAATGGTAGTTTATGATAATCGCATGATTCTTCCCAGTCAGTCAAGGTTCGTGGTTTTTACTTTCAATAGAAACATCATAGCGATTTACACCATTACGTCATGAACTCTGAGGAAGATTTTAGAGTTAAAGCATTTTTCTTTAAGTGTTTTAATTCCGTCTCTATAGTGAGATCTTAACTTAAAATAGGAGAAGGGGGTAAATAATTTCAGACTGGAAGAGGAAAATGATACACTTGACACGCCGCGTATGTGAGTTGTTAAGCCCGCCCTTGTTACCAGTGTAAGGTCCAACTTCTGTGCCTATCAATTCCCTGTGAACGTTATGCCTCTTGCAAAAATCATCAAACAGGTGTCTTGAGAAAGAGTCAATGACTAAGAGTAAGAAGCTTTGATATACTCGATACAGCGTTTTACAGACTGATGTGTTTTCCTTTTCCTTTTCCCTGGAAGGGAGATTTTCCTTGTCAGTTCGCATCACGAACACCATAACTATACTGAAAAAAAAACTTGAAATAACCAGAAGTACGTCCCTCGTGAAATTTCTTATTTTCAGTCACTTTGAACGAAGCACAAGCGAAGGTTTCACCGTATGTGCAGTTGTTCGCTTGAGTCTTTGGATAACTGAGAGGAAAAGCCCACTGCTTTCATTTTTCATTTTTAGAGGGCACGGTAACGAATCCTACAATCCGATTGGTTCTTAACCCGGTCAGTATTTTCCTATCTCTGCCCACGGGCCATGGCTACGCTTTCGTGAATCGCCGAGTACACCCCAAATTTGGTTGCCATTTTTCATAAATATATCTCGCTTTTCCGGCTGAGCAGTATTTTCAAGAAAACACGTTGGTCACTACCTCAATAAAATAACTTATGAATCCTCTCTTTTCTCTCTCTCATATCACTTTGCTTGACAGAAAAATATTGGTTTCAGAATGAATATGTTTAAGCAATAGTGCCATTACGTTGGTTGACAAACGGCCTAAAAACCGTCTGCAATTAATTTTAATCGTTCACAAAGAGTACTTACCGTTAGATCATTGAATGTTTTAATGAAAATATTTACAGAAGCGCTTCATGTACAAGTGCATTGATTGACTTATCTGGTAAAGGAATATCCACTCATAACTAGAAGTAAATGTGTTCTTGGCCTTTTTAGCTCAGTGCTATAAAGTTGGAAAACTAAAAGTGACATTTACTCATGATAAGACAATAAAATATGTTATAAAGAAAGCATATCATCAAATGTTGTACTTGCTTGTTTTTATGTGTGATGTTTTATTATACCTTTAAGCATTGATTCTGAAAATGAAACATCTATCTGCTATAAAGTATCCATCTACATTCTGCAAAATACACAAAAAGGCGTTCTGTTCTTACATAATTAACCACTGTTTCAAAGAAAATTACTCCTTGAAGTTCTGCACTCTCAAATATTTCAAGAAACAGCCTTGAAACCTGAAATAAAACACCAACGAATGAGCTCAAGGAAATTAACCACATAATTTGGCTTAATTGTGTGTTGTTCTTGTCCTGACACAACTATTAATTTTTCATTTTTTTAATTCAAAACTTAAATGCCTTCATTGTCCAACCATCACATCAGTATCTATAACTAACTATTAGTAGATCCTTGCAAACTAAAATCCCTGAGGATCTAAAGATATCAATTAGAACTCCAAATCAAACTTCATCAAATGCCCGGTGCCTGTTCACGGAGCATGGCCATTTGCAAAGCATTTGTGATTTTTTTCTTTCTTACCATTCATTTCACACCATAGAATCGCCTTTGATGGATGATCAGGAAGAAAATTTTATCCTCCAGAAAAACATCACTTTGGAAGGTTCATGTGATATGTCAGGGCATAATACTTAAACCACCACAAGTAATTTTCTGGCTAAGCTGGCTACAGGTTTGAAAGGTGTAACACCATACTACAGTCAACTACAAACTGCTACAAAGCCTTGGTTTCAAATTTCAATCTATTGCTTTTGCCATTATTTTTTTTGTCAAAGAACTGCTTGCACAATGAAGTATAGTGTTGTAAGGAAATATTGCTGAAAGGTTTACTCTGCACAAGTGTAATAGGCCTTAGGGTTTGTGTGTCATTCATCCATTCAATTTTTGTTTAAAATCGAAAATTGATGTCAATTTTTGATTTTCGTTACTTTTTATCATAAAAATATGAAAGTGCCCAATCCAAAATTTTTTACTTTTTTTCCTTTTGATAGAATATTGAAACATAACATATTTCTACTTTAATCCTGTCAACAATAGAGAGAAAAATGAAACTGAGCGGCAATTTTGCTTTTCCGACTATGTTGCAGCCTGTGGCATGGCTTAGAAAAATTGAAAATTGCAATCAATTTTCAATTTTTTTTTTCAGCCAAAACACTCAAAATCGTTAACAGAACTACTCAAGAGGGAGGGTTTACATTTGCACAGTTATTTTTTTTGCCCCTGTCCCCCTCCCTCCCCTCCCAGACTACACTTCTCTGGAAAGGAGGAAGCAGAAATTCATATTTACCACACAGTCACTCTTCCAAACATGAACAACTTCAGTGCTGAGTACATTAAGGATCTTGTAATAACTCAAAGAAAAACACACTCCAAGGTGAGTTTATTGCCAAAAGAAAGATTTCCCGACAAGAAAGGGTTCATTTTGAGGTCAGTTAGGAGGTTTTGTTTTGAGAAATGATGAGCTTGAGCAGTGCACTCGAGACATTGTTGCTCAGGTAAGTATAAGTTTATTAAACTTAAGTGCTTGTTGTTCACTATTTTCTTCTTTTTTCTACCTTCACTTCTTTGTTTGTATAGCCATCTATATGAGCACCCTTCAGAGTTCAAAATAGTTTTTCAGCTTTTTGCGTGAATTTGCAGGCTTTTGTCAAGGCTCATTTTTTTCGTGCACCAATATGCTCCAATACGAAGTCTAAGATCTTTCTAACTTCTTAGCTAATGTCCAAAGACTGGCTGCTCGCTGTAATGGACAGAACTGAGGAAGACACTCCAAAACGTCATGAAAGACCACTAAAAAGACAGCTAAACTATCACTTCATTCCCAACCCTTTAGGCAAGGAAGCGGACCTGACCATGGAGGGAGGGTGCTGGGGGCAAAAGTTACCGTGCAAATGGACCCCGACCCCTCCCCCTCCCCCTTGGGTAGTTCTGTCAACTATTTTGAGTGTTTTGGCTGAAAAACAAAAATTGAAAATTACAATCAATTTTCAATTTTTACACTGCCACTGAAAACAGAAAAAATAAGCCATGCCACAGACTGCAACATTGTCGGAAAAGCAAAATTGCCGCTCTGTTTCATTTTTCCCTTTATTGTTGACAGGATTAAATTAAAAATATAAGTTGCGTTTCAATATTCTATCGAAAGGAAAAAAAACTCAAAAATTTTCGATTAGCACTTTCGTATTTTTTATGATAAAAAATAACGAAAATCAAAAAATTCACATCAATTTTCAATTTTAAAAGAAAATTGAACCGACGAATCACACACGGACCCCTTGGGCCAAGATCGGTCGAAGTGCGGTAAACAAATTCAACTTACCTGGCAATCAGGAACAACATAATGAGTCAGTGATTTACAACGCAAAGTTCCGTTGCCTAAATAACAAAATAAATTAAAGTGTGTGATACTGAACTATAGTATGCTGTAACTAAGATAACAACTTCCAAAGATCGGCTGTAGCTTCCATTGCTTTCAAACGCTTACTTACCTTGTTCGCAAACTGCACAAACTTCACTGTGGCAAGGAACATCTTTCCGCAGATAGTGTTCCCGCACAACATCAACAAGTCGGCCTGTTTTCGTTTTCAACCTTAGAAGCTAATTAGTTTTGTTCATATTTTGGCGTTCAGTGATATGAGACAACGGCCATTTTTTCAGTAATACTACAAGTTGAACCCGGCGCCATTTTGTTAATTACATATCCCAACAGCACTTGCTAGTTTTAACTTTTGATTGGTATCCAGTTACCTCGATACCTCGGTCGCAAACAAATACTAAATGCGCATTGGTCAGTTGAATTGTGGTTACATCTTGTATTTCCTCGCTTTAATATAAGTTCGCATTTTGTTGGAATCGACAGGTCCCGATGTAAATAATTCTGGAAAGTCGTTGCTTTTAATAAGGTAGTTGAGATCCATTAATAGGCTCTTAACAAGTGGATAAATCGTCTGAGGCATGGGCAGCCCTCCATTACCGTAGACCTCATTTGATACTTAGTCTGTGAAGCTCTACTGTGCTGTGCACTTGTGCTTCAATATTAAATGTTGCCTAGTTCATATTTTGGTATACCTGGTAGTTGAAACGTACTTTTAAACCTATTATTTTCCTTATCGTGTTTTTTAGTTACCACTGAAAGGCCCTAATCTTTTTTTACTTAGCACTTCTGGTAATTTTCGAGCATGTGGCTAAAGTAAGCGGACCAGAGGTTTGAAAGATATAACTCCTTTTTACTTATTAAACATCAATCAAGGATCGTCATTTTGACACAAAGCTAACGAAAAATATTGCCGTTATTATAAATTCGCTCGCGCTTAAATGACAGTGCCTAAAATTGAACCTGATTGGTTTATTAAATCTCGCGCGCGCTTGACTCTCTTTTGTTATGTCACAATCTGGAGCACTCCATTCGCATGAAAATACTGTCCAGAGAGACTTATATTTCAAAGCGCGTAAACTTTGTTCAGATATAGCCCAGCAAAAGCTGAAAATGGGTTCTGCTTTAAGTTCATACAAATCCAAGAGAAGAGATAAGAAAGAATATAAGAGGTGAGTAAACATTTCTCTTCCACTTGGAGGAAAAGATTCAGATGCTCTTGCGACTCGATTTTGTTTTCCAGGTGACATTGATCACATCGTCTTGTTCAAATTTGTATACTTTTTTCGTCGCGTAGGAAACTAAGAGAGCAACTGAAAGAAGCACAAGAACACATAGCTCGTCTCCAGGAACAACTTCAGTGTGCAAATGAGTAAGTTCATTCGAGTAATGTTTGCTGTGGTGGCTGATTCTTTCTCGATTAAACTTCTTTTCCTTGACTTTCTCCTTTTTATACCTAATCGTAAAATCCGAGTAAAGAGTCCATATGAACTGGTTATGTAAATGTGTTTAGCTAGGAGGGCTTCATCTGGATTGTTCCGACAAATAGAGAGGGACTCAGTATTCGGGTGGTTACCCAGTATCTCTAGCTCTTGTTAGACGCAAAGAAGGTGAATAATTTGCTCTATCTAAGACCTTTTCTTAGCTTTTTCTTTTCTTCAAAGTCTTATATTGTAAACCTAAAATTAGTGCTTGTTAGTGCAATTGACCGTTATTGTTCATTACTTGTGTGGCTAATTATTCTTCTTCGTTCTCTTTTGACATTTTATGTAGATTACTTGAGGCCTTTCAAAGGTCACGCATCGCCCCTAACATAGGGCCCGGAACACACAAATATCGAGCAGCCACTGAAATGATGAAAGAAATTGAAGCTTTGGAGCGAAAGCTTTTCTTTGAGCAGGTTGCTCTGAATGTTACAGAAAATAGATGTGACTTTTTGGATGACAACTACCGGTAATTGAATTGCTGTTTAATAACCGTACACTATGGCGTTATTAAAAAGTTAAATACAGAAGTTTCAGTTCTTCACACACAAAAAAAAGATGTGAGTTCTCAAACAATCAGAAGACTCTATAATAGTCCTTGGTCAGCGCATAGAGTGTTTGGAGATCGGCAAGTATGGAGGGGAGGGGGGAGAACGAAACCTAGTGCTCTCAAATGAGGCAAATCAGAAAAAAATCATTTTAAGCTATAAAAATGTTTTATCTCTTTTTACAGTCTTCTTCACGAAAATGAGACGAACCTTTACTGCCAGAAGTCATCCTGTCAAACAAACCTGGAGGCCTTGAAAAAGAAACAAGAGGCCATTCAGTTCAGTCGATTCAAAGACGAAAATCCGCTGGAACAGTGGGTCGTCTGCTCGCTTCCAAACCTTTACTTCGGAAGAGTTGAAACCCTATCAACATGGCATTGGTGTTCTTTTAGTTAAAAAAAAAATGAAAATGAAAACAGTGTAGTGCCTTTCTTTTCGTAGATATTTTGATTGAAAACATTTGTACTATGCCGTAACTGAATCTTCTAGACATATGATGCGATGGCACTTTTATTGAATTATCTAATAGAAATTTAATAAACTTATGGTGATTTTTTGTTCGAGGTGATGTAGTAGTTATCTGGCCCTATTGAAAGTGAATTAAAAGGCCTAGCCTCAGATGAATTTGACCACTCAAACCCAAGGCCATCAATTGCAACACAATGGTAATTTATAATAATCGCATGATTCTTCCCAGTCAGTCAAGGTTCGTAGTTTAACTTTCAATAGAAACATAATAGCGATTTCCACCATTTGGTCATGAACTCTGCGGAAGATTTTAGAGTTAAAGCATTTTTCTTTAAGTGTTTTAATTCTGTCTCGACAGAGAGATCTTAACTTAAAATAGGAGAACGGAGGTTAATAATTTCAGACCGGAAGTGGAAAATGATACACTTGACACGCCGCGTATGTGAGTCGTTAAGTCCGCCATTGTTACCAGTGTAAGGTCCAACTTCTGCGCCTATCAATTTCCTGTGAACTTTATGCCTCTTACAAAAATCTTCAAACAGGTGTCTTGAGAAAGAGTCAATGACTAAGAGTAAGAAGCTTTGATATACTCGATACAGCGTTTTCACGGACAGACTGATATGTTTCCTTTGCGTTTCCCTGGAAGTAAGATTTTCCTTGTCAGTTCGCATCACGAACACCATAACTATACTGTAAAAGAAAACTTGAAATAATCAGAAGCACATCCCTCATGAAGTTTCTTCTATTCAGTCACTTTGAACGTATCAAAAACGCAGGTTTCATCTCATGTGCAGTTGTTCGCTTGAGTCTTTAAACAATGGATAACTGAGAGGAAAAACTCACTGCTTTCATTTTTATTGGGATACCTGTGGTAGCCAAGTCATAAAATGCCTTTGCTTTTTTGTCGTCTTTTTTTTTTTTTTTTTTTTTTCCTCCGCCACAAAATGGAAAACTTGCGCAATAGTACCCAGAGGTCATTGGGCCCTCAACACCAAGACAAGTAACTGTGATCCAATGAGGTGTTCACATGCTGATCACCCGTGTTATCTTGATGATGATTGACGTTGTCATGCACAGACAGGGTCGGGTCACATGATGAACACGAGATCTTGCTTATAAATTTCAACGTATTTGGATTGTGATCTCCTGGAGCATTATGGCATTATATACTTACAGATGCACATACAAGTCGTATTAATCGTGGCTAATCCACACTGAAAGATGTTATTGAGCGGTACTTTTGGAACGAATTGAGTCGCGAACGCTTGAAAGCCATGAAAGCCTTGAATACCTTGTATGCTAAGTATGCTAATGTCTTAGTTGAAAAACGTTCACTTGTTGTCAAAAGCAAAATCTGAAATCTGAAATCTGAAACCAAACTGCATATACTCTATGCAATCTATTGAACAACGTTACTACCGTGAGACTGAAGAAAATAACTATAATAGATGCTGCTGGTGAAGAAAGACGACTTGTTGGATTCACTTGATGGCAAGGAACGTAGCTACGATAACAGTACGAATGGTATTAATTTCACGATCAGAAAGGTGAATCTTATGTTTGTTTTCATTTATGTTTCTTTTTTTAATAAATTTTCATTGTAGTTGTATGGATATTCTTTTTTAATAAAAGGTGAATCTTATGTTTGGATGATATGTATTGCCTGGTCGACAACATGCCGACTTAGCTACGACAACATGCCGACTTATCCCGATGAACTAAGTGTATTATTTGTTTGGGAAATTGCGTCAAAACCTTTTATTCAAGAAATGGTAAGTATTAATTTATTGTTCGATTGTAGTATTATAAAACATTTTACGCAATTTTATGCAGATATTTCACGTATTTAAAAGGTGCCCAGGTTTTACGTAGTTTTGGTGGATGTCAGTAGGGAACATCCACCAAAACTTTGACCAAAACCATCAACGATTTTATCTATAGCCACTGTTAGATCTTCCGGGAAACAAAATATTTATACCAATAATTAGCAGTTAGTGCTCTGGCTAATTATTTTTTATGGTGCACAATTGCTGACCGACCAAACGTTCATAATGATTATCATAACTCAGTGGTTTTGGTGGATGTTTCTCTCCATCCACCAAAACCACCATAGAGTACATAACCACAATCTATTTCTTTGTATGTAGAGATATTTTACATAGTTCTTAAGTCAGCACCTTTTATTATTGAAACCATGATCATAACATGGTGCACAATATAGAATATAAAAGGTTCTGGTGTGGCAATCATGTAATCTTGAAACAGGAGAGTTTTCAACTGACTTAAACAGATATTTGCAACAAAATTCCAGATCCAGAAATTGCGTCCACTATTTCTGCAAAAATCATAACCTTTAAGTACAACAAATCAGCGCATCAGTAATTGTTATCAGGGGTCTGAAAATCTTATTGGTCTTTCACATTTATTTCAAGTAACCTTTAATTTCACATGGATGAATAAGTATACACTCAAGATGCAGAATGTCTTACATTTTAAAAATTATTCCCCTTTTTATGGATAGACAGTGAAAGGCCTTTGCCACATTGGTGAATCAAACCATTGTATACCATGTATTTTGTGATAATTGTTTATTTTTGCTCACAATATCCAAAACAATGGAGGAGATAAATTTAAATAGCAAATTCTATTAATGGTTAAAATTAAATAACATTGGAAGATCAA